GCCGGCCGGCCGGCCGACCCGGTTCCGCAGGGGGCAGGAGCGGTCCGGCCCGCGCAGTCCCCTCGGCAGCCCCCGCGGCGCCGAGCGTCCGGGACTCGGGGCGGGCGCGGAGGAGGGCTGTTGGCGTTCCTGGAACCCGCTGTCGCCCGGGGGAAGCGTTTGCGGAGGAGGGCGAGCCGGGCCGGGTCGGGAGGTTCTTCGCGCGCCGGGTGGTGTCGCTTAGCGTGGCCGGAGGGTCCCGGCGACCGACTCGAGTTTGCCTAACTCGCAGGTGGAGTAGACAGAGTTAGTGGATCGTCAGATGATGCCCCCTCCCCCGACAGGTTGAAGACACATTTGCGAAAAGTATAGTTTCTTGATGCGGGTTTTGAAGTCAATTTAGAAATTTCCAGTGTTAGGGCTAGTGACATTATTTTGTTCTATTTTACTTTAAGCTTTTTTGACTTGCCCGGAAGTATAACTTAAATACCTTGAAGTTTAAAAGCAGCGAATTGAAAGAATTTGAGGAATGCCTTGGATGAATGTCTTAATTTTGATGGCTAAGAAAACATCTGAATGTTTGCTGTAATGTCCCTCTTCTAAGTTCTTTGCCCCTTTGACTTATGACTGCGAGACATATCCCTGTCTGGTGTCTACTAGGTCTGAGAGAGGTACTACTGTATGTAGGCAGACTTTTTGCTCGTTCTTAATGGTCAATGGTTGGATGTAAATTTTAGATTGAAATCTGCTAATAGATGTTTACTTTTAAAAATGATTAAGGCTGGAGACCCTCAGTAGGGAAGGATCTTTTCATCCAGTACATGCATTTCTGTTATAAATCTTAGATACTCTTTGTCTATGAGGTGATAAAAAAAAGATGAGCCTCTTCATAAATGATAATTTGTCAAGTGTTACTTCTTAATGAAAACAGGTTGATGTAGCTATATGCTTGAAGAAAAAGTAACAGCATCCTCAGGGTTAAGACCCTTTTACATAAAGTTTTAAAATTCAGAGCAGAGTCTTTAATGTGTTGAGTATTGGTAAAAAGATTAATTTTTTGTTTCTGTTAAGCCGAACTTTTTCAGAAAAGCACAGAGAAGCTTTTCAGGCTTTTTTGAGAAGCTTTATTTTATGAGAAGCTTTTCATTTTATTTATTTATTTATTTATTTGCAGAACCGGGGATTGAACTCAGGCCTTTGCAGGGAAGCGCTTATTCCACTGAACCATCTCCCCGGCCCCTAAGCTTTTCATTTTAAAAGATGTATTTATAATTTTATTGTACTTAGCACTTAATCCGAGCTGTATGTGGTCATTTGTAAAGTAGATGATGATTAGAGAAGATATTTGAATTGAATATTTGTTTCAGCATATAAGAGAAATACTTATTTAAATTGGGAGAAGTTGTTGGAATGTAGATATAACTTTAAAGTATAAGTCAGTTCCCGGTGTTTAATGAACTCTTAGTTGTTTTCTCCATTCCAACCTGTTAGGCACACTTGTGTGACTTTTACTGTATATCCGACGCTGGTGAGAAGAAGGGAGACTAAAAGTGTTTAGAATCATGAACTTGTCCATTTAGGGATATGTCCCAGCTCAATTGTGTGTGTGTGGAGACACCATGACGTTTTGGGGTTTACACAG